TATTAAAATTTTCATTAAACATAGGAAAAAAAACTTTTCATCAAACTCAAGTTATATTAAATAGCATAGTTAAATTTTTATTAGTCTATTTTTATATCTTATTGGTTCTTGGTTTTTAAATTATTTTCATTATGTATTAATTGTTAATTATTTTTATATCATTTTGTATTATAGGTTAATCTTAAATTTGGTAGTAAAAAAGGGAACAAAAAAAATGTGAGATTCAGTATTTTTTATTTTCATTGGTATAAATCTAATAAAATATATAAAGATTAATAGCGTAAATTTTTTCATCCTCTTTCTCTTGAATTTTATTTATTATAATTATAAATTTATTTATTTTGATTATATTATCTATTTTCACTAAATGATTATTTTATTATAATTATTATAATTTTATTTATAATAATTATAAATTTTGAATTCTATTATATATTTTCACTAAATGATTATTTTTTAACAAAAAGATTAATGTCAAGTTTTTGGTTTCATTAAAAATAAATTATTTATTATAATGATTTAGAAGTTATTAAATTGTTTGAAAGTTTTAATGGTTGTATTTACGGTTCACTTCATATTTGTTTGAGACATGTTATACAGATCAATGTGATATATTTGTGTATTTTTGCAAGTTCTATTCTCGACCCTATGGTATTATGTGCTAATTTTTCTCCAACTTATCCTTAAAAACTATCAATCAAGTGGAAATATGTTTACTCCCATTTATTTATTTTTATTACTGTTTCAAAAGAGATAAATACACACTCATCGTTGTGCTAGATATAGTGAACGTAACAATATTTTCTCATTTTCTTTCTCTTTTCCATTTTCTTTTTTCTGATTCTATTTGATCGGAAAAAACTATGAGATCTTAGCGGCCACTGAAATGGTGTTATGAGGTTAAAGATTCTGAGCCAGGATGGTGTTAAGCTAATGACATATTATTTTGTCAGCTTGTACGTCTGATATTCAGATTTATTTTGTATTCATCTTTTGTGTATTTGTGTCAAGATAATTGATTGTTATTTAGTGTTTACTTTGTCTATAATAAAATGATGATATGTTCACTCAAACATTTCACCATCCCTATCAAAATTTGATGTCCATTTATATTTTGAACATTTTTTATTATCTACTGTCAAATATATTTTGTAATATTATATTACTTTTAGTATTACAATATTCTATGTTTTGTTTTTTTTTTCATAAAAGCATATAGTTATTTTTATGTGTCCAATTATTTTTTATACACAGTAATTGATATAAGTTCAGTGTGTATACAATATCATTTTTAAGAACAACAGACAATATTATTTATGTGGGAATTTGTATTTGTTTGATGTGTTTATTCTTTTTGATTTAGTTTGTATTCTGATTTTGTTCTGTATATTTAATGCATATTAGTTCCGAATGTGCTACTATTAAAAAATTATTGATACACACACATAAAAAATAATATATTTATATATATATATATATATATATATATATATATTCAAATTTAGTGAGTGTCTGATTTTTCTTAATTTGTTGCAATTAAGAATAACATTAAGTTTCACTATTTATATATATTTTTTTATTATATAAGTCATTTCTAACATTTGTCAATGTTGATAAAATAAAATATCTAAGAATATAAATTATGGATTATTTTTAACCAATTTATGTGAGAATATTTGTATTTGTTTGGCGTGTTTATTCTTTCTGATCTAGTTTGTATTCTTATTTTTCACGTATATTTAATGCATATTAATTCCTAATGTGTTAATATTAAAAATCTAATCGTATATACACATAATATATATATATATATATATAAATTTAATCATTATCTAGTTTTTCTTAATTTATTGAAAATAAGAATAACATTAAATTTCACTACTAATATTTTATTTTATTAATAACATAAAACTTCACTATTTATAGTTTGTTATTTTATTATATAAATAATTTCTAACATTTGTCAATTTGGATAAAATAAAATATCTAAGAATATAAATTATGGATTATTTTTAGCCTTATACATTTTTTTGAATATATAATTTTTTATAATTTTTTTATCTCAAAATATAAAGGTTCATACTTCTTTAAAAAAAATGATAAATTCATTCACATAAAATAAACATTTATTAATATTAAACATTAATTTTCTTTTGTAAGAATAATTTTCATGACATGTGTCATTTTCTCCTTAAGAATAACATTAAGTTTCACTATTTATTTATATTTTTTTATTATATAAGTCATTTCTAACATTTGTCAATGTTGATAAAATAAAATATCTAAGAATATAAATTATGGATTATTTTTAACCAATTTATGTGAGAATATTTGTATTTGTTTGGCGTGTTTATTCTTTTTGATTTAGTTTGTATTCTTATTTTTCACGTATATTTAATGCATATTAATTCCTAATGTGTTACTATTAAAAAGCTAATCGTATATACACATAATATATATATATATATTTATATATAATTAATGAGTATCTAGTTTTTCTTAATTTATTGAAAATAAGAATAACATTAAATTTCACTACTTATATTTTATTTTATTAATAACATAAAATTTCACTATTTATAGTTTGTTATTTTATTAAATAAATAATTTCTAACATTTGTCAATTTGGATAAAATAAAATATCTAAGAATATAAATTATGGATTATTTTTAGCCTTATACATTTTTTTTGAATATATAAATTTTTTATATTTTTTTATCTCAAAATATAAAGGTTCATACTTCTTTAAGAAAAACTGATAAATTCATTCACATAAAGTAAACATTTATTAATATTAAACATTTATTTTCTTTTGTAAGAATAATTTTCGTGACATGTGTCATTTTCTCCTTATCCTATTTAGTGACATGGCATTATCATGAGGCTAAAAACTTAACTTTATATAATAAGATATAATATTTATATATTAAACACATATTAAATATATAATTAAAACTCAAACAAAAATCTCGTACGTAGCCTGGACCGACCTAATGCTTTACAATTTTTCACTTTGCCCTACTGTAGAATTTGCGTTCCTACACTGGCGCATCTTCAAGACCGTCTTTATTACTCCGACCTCCTTTTACGTTTCCAGTTGACTATGCCAGGTCAGCACTAACTTTTCTTAGGGCAACATTATTGGTGGTCCTTTAAGTTAAATCCCATAACGTATAATTCATTAACTTTTAACTAAAAACTTTAATGGACATCTCTTAAATTCCTTATTTAAGGATATCCTTTCGCGTTTTTAGTTAAAACTAAGGAACGCTACGTTTCGGGACCTCAATTTAAAGGACCAAATAATGATGCCCTTAGTTCTCAGGATGGACCTCCTTCTTTGGTGGGCCTAGTGTCTTGTTATCTGGCCTTTAGGCTACTGAACCGGATTCTTAGACCGGGTTTGGAGTGGGATGAAACACACTTCCACAAAAAGGCCTGGGATATTTGTGGTTCATGTTGGATTTCAGTCAAAATTTCTTCCTTTCATTTGAACCTAAAAAGATTAGTCGTGTGGATATACTTGCTTAAACAAGCTATCCCATTTTTCCTTTTCAGCTAGATTTTATGGGGACTGGGGAGAGGAAAGAGAACTCCTGGCTTGAGTGCTAGCTTTAAAACACTTGATGTCCAAGTTTCAAGAAGGTTCCTAATGAAACCATTTTTTCATGGCCTCATGAATGACAGTCTCTTTCAATGCAATGAGAAATCAAACATTAAAAAACTTAACTTTGGCTTAGGACTGTTGGTTCATATACCTACATTGCAGATTAAGGTATGCTAGAATTACCACAATTTTTTTTATGTAAACGTTCACTATACTAACATTATGTGCATTTGCTATGTTATTATCGTACGCACGACAACTAATTCTTGCCTAGATCTTGCTACAGAATCAGAGAATGGAACATCCGAGCAATGGTTGCCTAAACTTATTCAGTATTGAATGCTCAAGGTACCATGTGTGTTATTACATAGTTCCTCAGGTTTCTTTTTGCATCACTGTGGAAAAAATTATGTGTTCCACCATTGGTGTGTGTTGCGGGTTTATTTAGGTCTGAGTCTCTTAATCAGTCTTTAGCTTTGTATCACGAAATTTCTGCTTCATCACTATTTAGCTGATATGGATTACTTGCAAAATTTTGTAAACTTTTTGTGTTGCCAACTAATTCTTGTTTGTGTACAAGTAACGATCGTGAGGGTTTTGAAACATTAAATTCTCGTGAAGGTAAGATACTATTGTCGGATAACTATCAAGTGTCTTAATTCGGACCACCACTTGATTTCAGGTCCATGGGAACTTATTATATCCCTGAATTATATAAAAATTGGTTTAACAAAATCACATTAGTGGTATATCTGATAATAGTTCTGTCTAAAATAAATATACGCTTCGTTTATGAAGAAACCAAAATACAAAATATTACTGCATGATAGATAGTTTGAGGTTTTAGTGGTACGTACAATAGATAAAATATTTTTTTCTGTTAGTATATATTTAAGAATGTTTGTATCATAATTGAGTTGATATATTTCAAAAGGAAAAATGATACTTGAAATTTTATTTTAATAATTTTTTAATTCAACGAATTTAAAAATGGATTGACGAAGACGTTTTCTTCATTAGAATCTCTAACAATAACATATGATCTGAACTATTCTAAATACGTATATATATGTTGCCAAAAAGCATAGGATTATTTTTCAAAAATTGCCTAAAGCAACTTTACAAATTCAAAAATAACTACAATAATTCTTCTTAGTTTTAATTATTTAGTTAACTTAGTTCGTGTTTCAAAAAAAAAAATTTAACCTATTTCTAACTGATAGATAAGTCTGCTTATATGAGAACTGAGTATCTTACGTCAGTGAAGAGACAAAAAATTCTACATATCTAAACTATTATACAACACACAAGAACAATAGTTATGTTATAAACGAAAGGATAACTACAACGCTTTTATTTTTTGTTTGATTTGTTTGAAAAAACAGAGCTCCAAATGTCTGATGTTCTTATCCTCATCTCCATTGCCTTAACAATAACATTCAGTGATCATTTTTCAAAGGCAACAAATCTACCTGAAAGGATCACTGACATTGTCCGTTGCAACAACAATAAAGTCTTCTCAGGGTCAGGTACCAAAACACAAATTGGTTTTAGTATCAAGAAACTTAGTTTCTTACTCTGTTCTGAAACGTGTGTCTTTTTTTTTGTGGACTTGCGCAGGATCATCTGGCGAGCTGAAATACAGATTCAGACAATCAAAACTGATTTTAGGACATGAGACAAAAGGTCGTCATCACGGGGATTCCCCTGTTTTGTGTCCTGAAAACAAAAAGTGTTCAAGTAAGGGGGAAAATCAGATATTATTCGCGCAAAAGAAGCATCCGGAGAGAAAGTATAAACGGATTCTGAAGCAAATAAGAAAGGCAAGAAATGTTCAGTTTCAACACAATAAGCAAAGTATAAGAGATAAGACGATTTTTTTCCCACATCCGTGGTTTTTCCCTCCAAACCCATTTGCACCACCACATTCTATTTTGCCACCAAACCCTTTTGCCCCACCACATTCGATTTTCCCACCTAACCCGTTTAAGCCACCGCCTCCTTCGATTTTCCCTCCAAATCCGTTTCATCCACCGCCTCCTCCGAGGTTCCCTCCATTATTTCCTCTGCCTCCTCCTCCGTCTATATTCCCTCCAATATTTCATCACCCTCCACCTTCTCCTCCTCCATCGTTTTTCCCTCCAAACCCATTTCAGCCTCATCCTCCTGCACCTCCTCCTCGATCATTATTCCCTCCAATATTTTCTCCGCCTCCAGCTGCTCCACCTCCTCCACGATCAATGTTTCCTCCAAATCCATTTAAGCCACGGACTCCTCAGCCTTCTCCCGCTCCTCCACCTCCTCCACGGTCAATGTTTCCTCCAAACCCATTTAAGCCACATCCTCCTCAGCCTTCTCCAGCTCCTCCTCCACCATTATTCCCTCCTATCATTCCTCAGCCTCCTCCAGTTTCCCCTCCTCCTCGATCATTTTTCCCTCCAAATCCATTTCAGCCTCGTCCTCCTCAGATTCCTCCAGCTCCTCCTCCATCGTTTTTCCCTCCTATAGTTCCTCCACCTCCTCCTGCACCACTTCCACCTCCTCCATCTTTTTTCCCACCAAACCCATTTAAGCCTCGTCCTCCACTTCCCAGTACTCCTCCACCACGCTCTCTATTTCCTCCACTGCCGCCAATCTTTCCAGGTCTACATCCTCCTCCTCCACCACCTCCTCCTCCCTCTCACTCTATTTTTCCAATTCCGCCATTCCCATTCTTTCCACCACCTCGTAACTCTGGCCCTCCTCCTACTCCACATTTTTCAGAAAATAAACAACATACTTAAGCGGACAAGAGTATTATATACATATATTTATATATAGACCAAACTCTTATTTTAGAGATGCAATATAAGTATTTTTTTTTTGTTAACGAGCAATATATGTATGTTGTATTAAGGCATTCACTAAGGAGTAATTTTTATATATGTAATTTTTTTATAATTATATTTATGTTTATTCATTTATCACTAATATTAAAAAAATAGTGTTATTAATATAAAGGAGTAATACATGAATATATCCTTATATCCCATAAACTTTATATTTTTTTTTTGTGAAATTCTATTAACAACGTAAGAAAAAAGCTTTGTTTATTTACAAGATTTATATGCATTTTATTTTTTGTATGTTTGAACAAAGGAGTATATTTGATTCTTTAAATTACTTTTTATTTAAAATCTGTGTTAACTACTGACACAGATATAAATATGATTTTTATCTGTAATATCTTTTTATTTTTATAATAGATTTATTTAAATTGTGTGTTAAGTATAAATTGGTTTGGGATGATATAATCAAGTTGTAAAAATGGCAATAATAGTGATTTTCACTGAAGATATAAATTGTTTTCAATATCCTCATGTTTAGCATAAATTATAGCTGAGGAAAAATTGCCAAACATGTAAGATTTATCCGCAATAATTATTAAATGTTTAGATGTTAGGAATAAAACTTAATTTGATTATTGTTACTTGTTATAAAGGGTCATAAAAGGCAAAGTCCATCTACTTATATGAAATTTACACAATTATATTCTGTCGAAAGGCTTTAGATATATGACGAAGTTGATCCCGATAGAGGAAAATAAGTCATAATCAAATCTATTCTGTTAGCTCTTCCAATGTACGTGATTTCATGCTTTTTATTCCCACTGGAGATTTGTGAAAGCTTTGCAAATGTCATTACACAATTCTGGTGGAGTTCAAATCCACCAAAGAAAGTAATTCATTAGGCAAGATGGGAGAAACTTTACTTGCCAAAAAAGAAGATATATTGGCTTTCATATGATCCATGAGTTTAATTTAGCTTTATTAGCAATATAATTATGGAGACTAACCCAATTCCCCGACTCTTTAATGGCTCGAGTTTTAAGGGGAAAATACTATAGAATAAGCTCGCCTTTGCGCACAATTTTTGTTAGTAGTCCATCTTATGTCTGGATCAGTATCTCAGCGGCTCGAAAACTTTTGCTTTTGGGAATCAGACATAAAATCCACTCTGATTACGAGGTTAAGGTGTGGAAGGATCCTTGGATTCTGACAATACCAACCAGACCGGCTCAGTTCACAACTCCAATATTGCATCCAAATATGAGAGTAAGTGATCCTATTAATCAAGAATCCAAAGAGTGCGATGTGGGTCTACTGGAGTATTACGTGTCACCAGATGATATACCTCTCATAAGGAATATGAATATAAGTTCAACACATCACAGAGAGACATTCTGTTGGAATTACACTAAGAATGGTCAGTTGATATCACTCAAATGTTTAACCCTAAGGAGTGAATTACTCTCTCAAATAAGAGGTTCAATCGTAGTACTTAGGGATCGAATCCACAAGGAACTAGAGTCACAAAAGATATAATCCTAAGTGATTAAGCTAGGTTAATCAGGTTTAAAACAATACATAAAAGTTGGTAGCAATGGTAAGTTGCTAAGGAAAATGGTTTTTGGGTTTTAAAACAAAAAAAGAAAGTAGCTAGATTCAAGGTTACTATTCAGAAAATCAGGATTATAAATCTATGGATGTCTTAACGAATTGCTTGCAAATATATGAGAACTTCAATCCTTAGACAAATCTATAGCTGTCGCTAGTTAGACTCGTCCATTGATCTGATTGCCGACAGTATCGATCGATGTTGCTATCGCAGTGTCGATCGATATGTTTTGCCGTCGATCGATTAATCTATAGGAGTATCGATCGATATAGCATCGGATCGAATTGAAACGGTGTTCACCCGAGAATTTCTATTAGACCGCCTATCGCACGTGCCTAATAGAGTCTGAGCTTAGCGAAATGATTTCAGGATAATGACTATTAGATTAGTCACTCCATAATCATACCTCTAGGTAACTAATCTAGGGTAAGCATTAGGGTTCATTTGGATAATGAATATAACAACTCAACACTCCATAGTTGGGGCTAATCCCTCATAACTATATGAACCCTAAATCTAACAAATGAATCTACTCAGACATAGCCAAGTGATTCATAGCAAAAGAATAAGATGAAAAGAAAATACTTTATTGCTAAGTATAGAATAGAATACAAAACTTAGATAAAACTCAATATTCTTTAGGGCTCATAGGCATAACTATAAATATGAGTACAATTAGGTTAAAAACTCGTCAGGGGCAATCTTGTAATTTGGTGAGAACTTGGGCTTCAAGTCGGCCAAGTAAATCTTGCTCATCACGCTCTGTATCGATCGATGGTACATGGTGTACATCGATCGATGGAGTATCTCGACTTCAACTTCTACGGAAGCGTCATCGATCGATTACACAAAGTGTGTATCGATCGATATGTGTCTCTCATTGTCGGATCTTCATAGTCATCTTGGAAAACTCTCCTTTAAGCTCCATAAGGCACCTAAATCATCACTTTACTACAAAATTCTCCTGAACCTGAAAACTTACCTAATAGACTCCAAAACATAGATAATTATCATAAAAACATATCAATACCATGACCAAAAATGGGTCAAAATCATGGTATATCAACTCCCCCAGACTTAATCTTTTTCTTGTCCTCAAGCAAACCTTAAGTTAGTCTTTGAAAGAAGTTTAAAAACAGCAGGGACTCAATCAAAATCTCAACTGTAAAATCATCACCTCTTACTTTGTTGCAAGCCACATCTCATATCTATCAACTACAGAAGTACATTATGCCATATCCTAGCTTAGTAACCAAATACATCTAGCCAATCAACTTAAACATTCTTTGTCTATTTATCCCCTCTACTGATTTCATTTATGCATAAAAATAAAGGTGTAGGCTTTACCTTGGGAGTATCGATCAAGGAACACCTGGATTCAACTCAAACAAGTTTCAGGCATTCTCATCATGGTTCCCTTTCTCTCTTTATCCCCCTTCTCTGAATCCAAATATTTCTCTCTCTTATATCAATCCCAATGAACAACTAATGTTCATCTTATTGATCTTTCTATTCTTGACAAGTATAAGCGAATAATGGGGTCGTAGGTAATGTACCTCTCCCTCGCTTTGATCATTCCTTTGATTTAGAATAGTGAGGTCATAGGTAATGTACCTCTCCCTCTGCCTCTCAGGAAATCATCTCAGTCTTTTTCTCTTCGTGGGATGCCGAAGGGAGAAGAGAAGGAAACCAAAATTTTTGAGACTTTTACCTTCCAGACTTGTAGGAGGATTCCGATCCCTTGTATACCAAGCCCCAAGACAAGCAGTAGATGTCAGGTTAGGTTGGAAATCAGCTTTGGTTCTTCCAACAATCATGAAAGTGTTGTCATAGGTGATCGGTGATCCACTTTAGCATCTATAGTACTTTCTGCAATCAACAAATCTAAGAATGGTGCTAAAGAGTGGTAAGATAAAAAGTAAGACTTTGAAAATTTTTCCCTTTCTTGGCTCAATAAAACCAATTTTTGAAAACTTTTATAAATAAGATCAAAAAGAGGTAAAGTAGCATCAGTAATCAACTCCCCCCAGACTTAAATCATACACTGTCCCCAGTGTATAATCAGTCGGAGTTAGAGCATAGAAAAATTAAATAAGTAACTGATATCGAAATGGTGAACGATATACCTGACCGATATGGGTATCGATCGATGGTGAGTCGCCATCGTCGATCGATGCGTGTAGGTTCGTGTCGAGCGATATCGACTGGTTCGTATCGGTCGATAGGTATGGATCGTGTGTCTATCTTCCTAAAAACAAATAAAAACGAAACTAGTAAGTAAAAATAAAATAAAATAAAGAAATAAATACCTAACAGTGGGTTGCCTCCCACTCAGCGCTTGGTTAAAGTCAGTTAGCTTGACTATGGATTTATAGTGGCTAGTGAGGTAGGTTGCAGGTACTTGTTGGGAAACAAGTGTCCTCCTTTTCTTGCGTTTCTTCAAACCAAGAGGTTAGAAAGCTTCTTGTGGCCTTCTCACTTCTGGTCATACTAGTCTTCAAACCATAAACTTCAGTTTGGATCCTTTCCAACCACTCCTCTAAGCTGGAAATGCTATACTGATGATGTCCAAGCATGTTGTAGATGTGGTCTGCATTGTCGTGGTGTGTTGGATCGTCAGTCGATTCTGGAGATCTTATATCGGTCGATGGGTGTGGTATGTCATTGATCGATGGGGATGGGTCAGGTCGGCTTGCGAGCTGTCTTTGGATATCTTCTACCTCCTTCTGAATATCCTCCACTGTGCACTGTAATCCTGTGACGTCAATGTGTACTGGGAACCAATACCTGTCCAGTAATCTGTAATCTTCGTCTCCAAAAAACTCAATAGATTTTTAGATATCTCTTGTGGCTGCTTCTAGTTCTTCTCTGGTACAGTAGTCTGGTGCGCGTGTATCGATCGATTGTCTGGGCTTGTCATCGATCGATAGCTTCTGTAAGTGGTGCTCGATCGGGTTATGGACGGGTGTATCGATCGATGCAAGGGGATCTGTATCGGTCGATGCCTGTGTCTGAGATCTCAGTTGTGCGCGCAAGGTGTTGACTTCTTCTTGTAGGGCTTCTCTTTCTTGTCGTGCTAAGTCATTGCTGGTGGTATTCCATAGCAGTTCACCTCGAAGTCTTGATAGGTCTTTATCATGTTCAAGTCTCATGCCTGCTATCTCCCAGTTGTGATCTCCGGTTCTTCCATCTAGCATATAAGTGACTTCTGCCTGTGTGTAGAGCTTTCCATCTGGAACTCCTTTAGCATATTGATCAGCATATTCTGGTAGACAAAAACAAGAGCGTCCAAATAATGAGGCTCTCTTCAGCAAGTTTCCCATGTCTTCTTTGGTAACATGGATGA